TGTCACTATCCGCTCTGCACATGGCATTGAATAAGAGGAACCTCCAAGGGCACGGCCGTGAGGGGCAGAAGTGTACTGAGATGTGCAAGTGCATGCGATGTTAAATGAAGAAAATAAAGGGAAAAACTGCCAAGAAACTTGACCAAAGAGAAACTTGATCAGCAGAAACTGGGCCAAGTTCACAAACCTCTCAGATAATCTTCCTCTAAGACTGAAAAAAACCCAAAAAACCCCAAAAGTGATTAAAAGAAGGATTTCTGTAATTTGGTTGGGGGGGTGTGGGGTGGTGGGGGAAATGTAACAAACTAATTTAAGCTAATGTAATGTTTATAAAGTTACTTGGATAATGACACCATGTATGCCATTATAATCATTAAAACCCAATCTATGTTTTTAAAAAAAAAAACTTTGATGATTAACACAAAATCAAGTTGATGCGAAGGAACAATTACTTTTAGAAAAAAAATCAGGAGGTCCTAATATTCTGTAGAATGAGGGAGGATGCAGCTGTATGTCGACAGCTTTCATATCCTCATTTGAATAATGTGGCCTGAATCTGTCACTTTATTCATCCTCCTTATGCTCAGTGTACTCTGCATCAACAACAAATTAAGTTGTAAATAAGAGACAATCATCACTTTTGTTTTTAAGCAGCTTCTGCATGGAGAATTTCAATGTACTGCTTCTTTTTGACAGAAAGAAAGGGATTCTACACTGTGCTTATGTAAGCACAAATATGAGGAAACCAACCGAAATGAAACAATAAGGGAGCACTTGAGAACCGCTCCAAAATGTTCTTGGAAGTACATTTCTACCACCATCGAAATCTCCTTTTTTAATAGGGTATGTATAATGAAGACAGTTTAATTTACTGTAATAATTATTCTTACTTTGCTTTGAAATGTCAGTGATTTTTTATTTTTAATTTCAAATCCTCCAACCTCCCCTTTCCTTGTCTAGGCACAAGCAGGGTACACCTCAACAGGAAGAACAAGTGAATAAAGTCAGCTGTAACCTTTGTGTACCCAGAAGCATTATTAATCTCTAATATGATAACGTGATCCCTTTTCATGAGCAAATACAGCATGCAGTAAGGAGAGAGGAGGGGAAAAAGAGATTTTCTTACCTTTACGTCTGAGAAGTAGGTTTTCAGCATATTGGAACTTGGGTACCGGGTGTAAAAGAACATGAGCTTGGCCTTTTTCAAGTGATTCGGTGACAAGCCTTCCTGCATGTAGGATTGAATTAGTATAGGAAAATGCTGTTCTTGAGAAAGCTGTTTCTGAACATACAGAGCCAGCAAACTGCCCCCCCTATATACTCTACAGTTCCCCAGACTACAGGAGACAATATTAACATTTAAATTGCCGCACTGTAATTTTCTGTAAAACACTTAAATGAGGGATGCGAGGCCATGTAACTTAAACCGTGTATTTCCTATCAGTTTTGGTGCCGGGTCTCGGGAATCTTGCAAGTTTACGGCTTGTGTACCATATGTATGTTCACTTGTTGCTAAGGAAACAAATGTACGAAGCATGTGCCGCAGAAAAACTTACTGGAAGCTTTTTCTCCCTCTCCTTTGCAATTCCAGCTAAAGTTTCTTTTTCTCTCAGTGTTGTGCTACTTGCACAGAATAAAGTTAATGGATGTGAGACAATCAGAGGCGCTTTATCATTCTGAGCAATGTTTTACACCGGCAGTACTTTTCACCTGTTCAATTGTGTCGATAAATTTTAAGAACTTCAGTAACTCTCTCTAATCCTGCTGCTGCTTTGCTCCAGTGGCTGTCTTGCAAATCAAAGTGAAATTTGTAAGAGGCAAAGTCCCTCTGCCGCTCAATCCCCCGCCACAAACTTGTCGCCTCCTGATTTACACAGTTAACTCCTCAGAGAACGAAGCTGTATTTGGGGCTAACCAATCAATACATGTGGGCTAGCAAATCAATAAATGGCCACTTACCCTATAAGGCAGCCTATTTATCCTGGAAACATCATTACCTTTTAGATCTGTAAACAGAAGCAACTAAAAGAGTTCCCAAGGGAATGTGAAGCTAACCATAACAATCTCAGCTTGCTGATTCTTCTCCCGGCTTCTTGGCTCTCTTTTGTGTACTGCGTGCTAGGACGGCTCTGGTCACATCTGTGCCGCAGGCTGGCCCTGCCATTTCCTCAGCAAATTAATGGCTTTATAATTTATCAGAAATGAAGCTGCACGTGGAGAAAATCAATGTGGCCCCCACAAGGTCAATTAAGGGTTCTTCCCAGAAGCTTCTCTGAGGACTGTTTCTCCTAAACACAATTGTTGAAAATTTCACTCAGTTCACACCTTACGGTGGGGGGGAAGGTCAACCACATTGACAGATGTGCTGCAGCCAAGGTGCCTCTTCCACCTGACGGCTGGGCGCACGTCAGCACAGAACATCTCATTCCAGGCCTCAAGACGGGAAACCCAGACTGATTTTTATCAGCAGGCTACTGATGATTAGCTAGGCTTTTTCAGCAGAATTCCTTTTCCTCTAATTTGTGAAATCTACTGAAACCCTCTCCCTCTTTTTCTGTTACAAGGTTCACTTTTAGATTAGAAAAACGTAGCATTAAAAAAAAAAAAGTCATTGATAATATTAGTTTAAAAACCTCTTATTTTCTGGAAGTACGTGGAAAACGGCTCAGCTGAACTTGCATTTTGTTTTAGATGCTTAATGATTACAAAGAAGATAATTTATGACTGACATACTTCTTGTGCCAAGAGAAGAGTTGAAAGAACCTCCAGTTACCTCCATTAGACTGATAGAGAAGTCTAAAAGAGCATTACACTCTGCAGTGCCATCTGTCAAAATACGTAAGTGAAATAATAGTAGCAAGCTGTCACCTATTGCTTAGTGATAAGAGTTTTAGACAAATCAAAACTTCTACGCCAGAAATCCATTTTGTTATGCGAACCTTTCAGGAAAGTGGGGGTCTCCAATAAGTAAAAGGGAAAAAAAGGAAAAATCCTAAGTCTCCTTAATTTGCAATTCCTCTGATGTTAATATCGGGCTTGGTGTATATTCTTTTTCAATGCAAGCTCAAAGATGGACTTAAACTTTCAAAAAAAGCTCTCCTATTTGCTGGATTTAAGCATATTAGACAGTTGTCTAATCATTTGGATTCCTTCTGCATTTAGGATTTTTAAACATTTTCTGCTCTAATGCCAGAGGATATTGATATTGAATGAAACATGTATTAAAAGATGTTCTGAGACTCAAATTCCCAGAAATCCATTTTTATTAAAATTATACTTGTTCTTAAGCACTTGGCAGCCTTAAAGAGGTATAAAATATGGAACAAATCTTTATATCTTGATCCTAAGGTTAACACTTTCCTATGGCAAAAGATATGATCTGTAATAATCTAGCAAAAAATAGTTAATGACAGACTTAAGAGCTAAGAATTAGATAACTCATTGCTATTTCAGAAAAAAAAACTGAACTGACCAATTGCTTAATTTCCTTTTTAAGTGCTTGGGCTGAAAAGCAACTGTTCTTCCAAGAAAGCACTAGCTGTTTCCAGGATACTTACACACGCACAATGACTCATGATGAAATAGATTCAGTAAACATACAGCTGTACCGAACACGAGCTAAGCCCCATTCAAGGCCAGGAAAGAAAACGAGCACAAATAAATATTAAGGAGGTAAAGGGAGGAGGGGTGCCGAATGGAACGCAAACAAGCTCTGTCCCAGCAGCTCATGTGGCTTGCCTCAATTCTCTTAGCTATAGCTTTGTGAAGACAGATGACATTCAATTCTGTGGGTAATGCAAAATAGACAATAACTGCTGAAACTTGAGACAGCTGCCAGGTGTAAAAAAAAAAAAAAAAAAAAGGCAAGGAAAAAAAAAAGGAGAGAAAGAAAAGATGATAAATCCATAAATTAATGAAAGACATCTGCTCAGGAACATAAAAGATCAGAGGAACAGTGTACTGCAGCTGAACCTAAAGCAGTGTTCAAACAACCTGAGTGTCTCGGTGTTGTGCGTTTACACAGTACAACGTAGCCTCACCTAACACTGCAGCAGCTAAAAGGCAAACTGCTAAGAAATAGGAAGTGAAAGACTGGGAATGAAACGTAGACATGCTCTTGTGTGTTTTAACTGCAGAAGCACAGGGGTAGCATTGCACAAAATTTGACTCATTTGCACTTCAACCCTCCCAGGTAACTCTCCTCTTTTGCAAAAAAAATATTTTTTCAGTGGAGATGATCTTTCACTCCTGTTATTCTCAGCCTGAGCTCCCACAAATTCTCTAACAGGCTTTTCTAGTCCACACATGTATTGAGCTGAAGGAAAAGAGGTAAGAATAGGCTGTATCAGGTAAAAAATCTGCACTAGCACTGCCAAGCTGCTCCTTAAGTTACACCTCAGGTGCTTTTAATCAGCAAAGCTCCAAATGGCTGTATCTCAGAGCATCTTCAAGACCCTCCAAAGAACGGTCTGGCTGGAAAGTATTTGTTCATCGCCCAGGTTTTATCAACAGCACAGAGTTATCCAGCTTGCTGTACAATCGCTCAGGTTTTTTTATAAATTTAATTAGTTTAATTCTAGTCAGATGTAATAACTCTTCATTTCAAAATGTTGTAATTCACTAATTATAGCTTTCACATATTGGGACTGTGAAACTCATTCCAGTTGGACTGGAATTCTGTTTAAAAATAAATAAAATTGTAGAAAGTTTCACTGATGTTTTAAAGCCCTCTTGCCAGGGGAGCATGCTAAACTTCTTCACCTGTACAGATGTCTTAACAGCACACAAACTACCGTTGTGCTTCCATTCTGATCTATGCAAATGTTTTGGGACTGAACAAGGCTATTTTTCTTGAGATGCAAAGAGGATGCATGACAAAGGAAGACCATGCAGGAAAACAATTCGCTGTCTGTTTCTTTTGGAATTTGAATAAAATTTTAGTATTTGATTAAACAGATTAGTTTGCAAAGATATAGACTGCATTCATGACCAAGATGGGAATTCATGCTGCAGGTGCATCTTATCTTGTTTAGCAACATACACAAACATTAACTGTTCCCGTCTGCAATTCAGCAAAGAACGATTAGATACATTTTACAGGCATTTGTTAAAAAAACCCAACAAAACAAACAAAACACCAAACCAAAACCAAGGCTAAGTGCAGTGTTTTAGCTTACTACTAAAACCTGAACTTGGCTGTATCTGCTACTCTTATGTTCTCATCCTGTCTGTATTGTCCAGGAAAACAGATGTTGCTTTCTGCAGGGAAGAAAGATCTGCTTCTCTCAAGAAATATATTCCCTGTATGTGCACACTCAACCATGTAAAATAAAAGCACCACAACAGAATCGACCACAAACAAACCAACCTCCATACTGCGCCTTTCTCTGGAAACTGCAAGCTACCTGGACAAATGAGCCGCTGCTAGAAAAAAGCATCCATCTCCACAGCTGAGCCGTATACCAGGGTACAAACTGTAGGAGCGGTATTTAATAAATCTGTTTGTCCCAACGGGTCTGTATCTAAACCCAGATCAATCTGCAACCTGCAATAGCATCTAGGTGGGAAAGTCGGAGCGCTCTCACAATGGCAGGGGAAGAAGCGGGGCAAGGAAGGAGGAAGGGCATCACGCTAGCACTCAGTGTTTCCCCTGGCTAAGCCTTGGAGCGGCAGGAGACTCTCACACCCCTTTCAGCAGAAGCAACAAGCTCCGTAACCGACTGACAGTGAGAACGAGCAGAAGAAAGGGGGAGAGACAGCAGGGGTGAGGGAGAGATGCTGCATCTCTCTCCTCGATGGAGAGGATCGCTACTCCCTAGTTCCTTGGCATTTTTCACCTCTGTTTACTCCTCTCCCAGGATGGAAGAACTACTTTTATACAAAAACAATTAGTATGCTGCTATACTGTTTGGTAGAAATTACTTAATTGCTCTGGCCTGAGTCTTGATCTCGGCTGCCACTCCTGTTGACCTCAGGACTGCTTTCTGAGCATCGCAGCTTGCATTTCAATATGCAGGAAAGATTTTTGGTTTGGATCTCCAAAAGTAACTGTCAGTATCTGCGAGTGACACTGGATTTAGACCAACTTCTCCGTTTTGCCACGCAACGTATGTGGTGAGGAGATTTCCCTGGTACCAATGCAGCAGGGAGATTCTCTTTCAGGAAAGAGGTCCCTCAAACATCATGTCCACTACCAGCTGGTCTCGAAAACACCAACAGCTGAAAAAGGTGCTTTCAAGCCAGGAACACTTGCCCCTATAGAAATGGGATTATTCATACAGGTCAGACAGCAGCAATTCCCGACTCGGACTTGACCTAAGTTAGATCAAAGACTGGTGGCGATGGGCTCTGGACCTGCAGCACCTGCCTTCGTCCCAGTGGTGCCCAGTGCCATGAGAGGGATGGGAGGTCCAGGTAACCAGCAGGTCCTGAGCGCTGCCAGCACCCTCCTGAGGATTTAACACATCTACATAAAATGTGGTTAAATTAATCTAAAACCACCAGAGTTATTAATTGCCTAAAAGATAGCCAGTGATGGGGCACAGCCTGGTGCATCCACCTTCACATGATGCCCCTGGAAAGAGGACAAGTTTCTCAGCATCACTACCATTACTCAGGGAGGGCAGAGTTATTCAGTTGCAATTACTTTCAGCAACTAGGGAATGAAATGAGCTGCATCTAAGGCTCTGTGTTTGTGCTGTTGCCTTCTGCTGGGGTCTTGGAACTGGGATAAAACGTCATTCTACCCTTCATTCAAAATCCTCAATTTTAGCATCAGGCAGACATGGTATTTTATTCCCTTTTAATATGACTGTACTTGGAAGAAAAATCTTTTGACCAAAAAGCACATTAGGGGAAAAGATGCAAGGAGTGGGAGGTGTTATTGCTGAAAAAGAAAAAAAAACTAGTACTAGTTTCCAGGAAAAAAAAAAAATCATTACTATGTCTGGTTATGCCTAAATAAAGGCATAGATGAATTTTTTTCCCCCTAACTAAAGCCTGCTATTGAGCTAAAAAGAGAGATTTTATTATCATCTTATTTTTAAGCAGGGGAAGTGTCCTGTAAATTTAATACAGCTGAAGTTTTATATTTAATTGTTCTCTCTAGCTTTCCAAAATAATTTGCTTTGTGTATGTTAGGACAAAAGATTTCTGTGTATGGCTGAACAGAGGTTAATCATGCATAGCAGGCAGCTGCACAGGGCTGAGGAACAGACCTCTGGGTGGGGGAAAGAACTTGATGCAGCCTGAATAGATCAGTACCTGTGTCTTTTGTGCTTTGTTTCCCTTACGGGCTTGAGAGCTGAGGGCTCATGATGACCTGACCGTGGCTCTCTGCGAGCCCCAGCCATGACACCATTAACACAGGTCGCGCCTTGGCCTGGCAGGGGAGGGAAAGGAGGCAGCCATGGCTTGAACGGTTTTTGGCCAAGGACGGTGCCCCCTCAATCATCTCCCTGCCTGGGGAAGGACCTGCCAGCCCAGGAAAACCCCCCAGCACCCGGGTCGTGGGCTCGGCTCAGTTTCTGACCCTATGGGATGCTCTCAGAGGCTTGGGGAGGGCAGATGGCTATTCTATGTGAACGCTGTTGCTGAAGGAGCACCATCAGCCAACACCCAGCATTTTATTTGGCCTCCCCAGGCCCCCCGCCCGCTCCCCCCCAAGTGCCCTGCTCCTGCAGCACCTGGGGGCAGTCCTAGGGTGCAGGCATGGCCCCTTGTCCTCTCCCACTGGCCACTGCCGGGTTATCGCTCGTCTTTCAAAAAGGATATTGCACTTCCCGAATAGGGCGAGATTTCGGACATGTCTTGCAGGTCACCGCACTCGGACTTTATGAGGGACAAGGAGAGGCCCTCGGCGGCGCTGGGGGGGGGGGCTGGCG